AATGCGATAGTGTAAAAGATCTGTAAATCTCCATTTTTTTCACAGTAGGATGGTAGTTCCGAAGGTATACGATGAACGTTTTGCGTCGTTTATACTGTTTAATATTGATCACAGAACGTGTTCTAGGATCTGGGTGCACTGTAAAAACAATCGAGTAGAATAATAAACCCTTTTGAAGGGCTTAATATTCTACTCCTTTTTGTAGAGTGTATCCATCCACGCATGCTTTTCAAATAAATTCTAGCTTTAATTTAGTGGCAACCAGGAAATGGCAGTATACAAAATTTGTTGTTGTAAAATAGTGGAGAAGCAGAGAACTTTTATAGTTATCAACCTACTTGTTTCTGGCTTAGCATGGATATTGAACTTACTTATGCTAGCGTTCAGTATTTTCGTATTTTTTCGATACCAGAATAGGAGCGTGTATCACATTGAATTTACCTCGGTAAATGATACTAACAGCGCCTATTTCTTAGTAGAAGATAATTATACAAGTAGTTCATGCTCGAATGGCTCAGCAATGAATTTTCATCCGGTACCCGACTTTAATTCAACTATTATTGGTCACAATATATATAGTACAAGTCTTATAGCACTTTTCGGGTCCATGAGCATTGCGTCAATTCTTGGTAGCTTTCTGATCGATGTCGCTGAATGCTTACTTATATGTAGAGTCGGTAAAGTAGAGGCATACGAAAAAGGAAAACCGAAATCTTGCCTTGGAAGCATTCCTGGTCTTCTGTTTTACATATTTTCAAAAGCATTTTTCAATAGTACCTATTGTATACCCGGATTTTACATGGGCCTTTTCGATTCGTAGAGCGTATGCTTATCGCTTAATACGCCGTTCGTTTACTACTTTTTATTTACATTATGGCTTCCAACATTATTCATATCAATAGGATCAATCGTTCTTGTTCTTATTTTAATGGTGATTCTATTGTATTTTCATTGGACACGCGGAGACGTTATGTTCCACTCGAAAAGAGAGAAACTATTGTGCGCTATAGTTGCGTTTATCGCAGGACCGTTCTTTATATATTCCACCGCTATCCACATTCTAGCTTTCATTCCGCTCGTAACTGGTTATTTGATTCCAGCAACTCAGGGGCTTATCATAAGCGCTTTACTATTAAACATTCAACCTATACTATCTTTACCAATTACAGGCTGTAATTTTTGTTTTAAATTCGATTCTGGAGCAAATCAATTTTAAGTAAGCTAGAACATTTTCAAAACTTTATCATTCATTCATCGAATTTCTTTTATTTACAAAATGCTTGTATTTTTCAATAATGCAAATTCAATTTGATTGCCTGCATAAAATCAAAACTTGAATATACGTATTTTATTTTGAAAAAAGTAGAAATTCATCCCTGGCAAATTCATATAGGCATTATATATTTTACAGCATATATCATGCTACTGAAGTGAAAAACTCGCATTAAGATGTTGCCACAACCAAATCGGCATCCATTTTAATCTATCGAAATAAAAAAGATACATAATAGTAGCTCTGTTGAGTAGAGGGACTGCAAAATTGTTGTCAAGCAGGATTCAGAATTCAAGGGAATCTACAAACTAAATAATGGATTCATTGAAAAGTAACAAGTCCAACTCACACACAATGCATAAAGATTCATACGTCACATCCAAAATGCTACTTACGTTAGAACTTTAAAAGATTCGTGAGGTAAGGGTGAGATTGAGTGTGCATGTGCATTAATCAATTAAAAAACAGATCAACTTGTCTCTTACGGGAAAGTTTCATTTAATCTGCTATTGGGAACTCTTGATTTTCAGCAATCGTTTATAATTAACTTACAATAATTATGAAATATAGAGAATGTACTTCATAAATGAGTAATTAAAGAAATGCAGAGTTTTATTTCACCGATTGTATTATTTATTATCGAAATATTGAAATACTCCAGAGGGTTCTGTATTCATTTAAAGCATAATTTGAAAAATAAAAACATACAAGATATATAAAAAGGTATATGACGTGTTCTAAGACTGTCTATGGAAACTCAATTAAGTATCAGCAGGGAATAGATAATATTAGGGCATGGGTGCCACAAATGGTAGACATGGAGCGTCTCATCTATATCGCTAATATCTCCTATATATTCCCTACTGATACTTAAGTGAGCTTTTGTAGAAACTCTGAAAAGATATCTAATCTTAAAAGGTGTGCTGAAAAAATGTCGAAAAGAAAAATATTCAAAGGAGAAATATTAAGAATGGAAGATGGCGAACGATGTAAGCTCTCATATGTATAGAACGTAAAAGACAAACAGTGCATCAATTATGTTATATGGCAGAACGAAGAAAAAAATTACTTTCGTGGGACTCGAAAGCACAATCTCTGTTATTCTGGCAGATGCCCTAAGCCAGTTCAACTAGGATGATCATCTCATCTTCTTTTAGCGTCAGAGGGTATCATCATTGACGCAAACAAACGTAAAACTATTGAATCCTTGTTGTTTTTTGTATGAGTCTACCATTCACCAGCCATTTCAGTTATAAATTCATATAAAGGAAAGTCATTGCTAATAGTGCACGAATATGTTTTCAAATTGAATAAGACAAAAGCTACTATGAAATAATGGATATGTATAAAGAATGGATACTTAACAAAAATACATGAAAATTTAAACAGTAAGTTAATGAAAACGATTGGGGATGAAAATCATCTTTCAGAGAAAGAAAAATGTGGAGTTCGGGAATTTCGTGAAAACGTAAAACAACGAGTAATCAATGAAACAATACCTATGTGTACGGATCACTGATGAAAAGTGTGGGTGTGAGTGTGGGTGTAGAGTAATGTGCATGTACATCCCACACCCACACCCTCACTTTAGCCCACCGAATAGCATGAACAAATTCAACCCATATCGAATAGTCCAATGGATTCAAATCAGGACTATTGGGTGGCCAATGATCTGTGTGAATGAACGAAGGAAAGTGGCCTTGACACCATCGTTGTGTAAGATAATGAATGCGTGGTTTTGCACCATCTTGCTGAAAGTTCCATTGGCTTCACAGCACATTCTTGCCGTATTTAAGTGCCACTGGAAACGTTTCTTTAATGTATCGAGCGTGGTCTACCGAATCATTGTCGAAGATAACTAATGACGTAACACCTTTAGAGCATACTCCCAGCCAAATCATGAATTTTTGCGGGAACTTTCGTTTCGGTTTGACGCCACCTTTCTTGTCGGCATCAGCAGGATCTACTGCCCATACACGATCATTTTGACTGTTATAGAGGGATGTCATAATATCCACAACTTGGGTATCGAGATGAATACTCAGATAGGATACTCAATTGGATGGACATCTACGTATCTTCAGAACCGAGGAATTTGAGTGCATTTGGTGTAACGAGATGGGTATCCAGTTGTACAGAGATATTGAAAATCTACTAGTTGCATTGGAATGTTAAATAATATTATCAATACATGTAACAGCTAAAATATAACATACATACTACTGGTAACATGGTTAACAAGAATCAACAGTAATTTAGAAGTCATAAGATACAGAAAATCACATCAGATATCATCACAATAGGAATGCAACATTCTAAATACCACCATCGAATATCCGATGTTGTATTTTACAACCAAAGGATCTATTTAGATTAAAATTTGGTATATATACACCAACTAATAGAATATACGGACAACCAGGGTCCATTATAAAACAAAGCAGGCAAAAAAATGAATATACTGCCATTACAGACGGAGAATGGTGACAATGCTATCTAACAATGACGTCAGATAATGGCCCATGCATACTAGTCCGTAACCGTAAAAGCCCTTAAAAAGTTTTATTGAAAGAAAAAATTTTAAGAATATATTTGAATCATATGTCACGGAACAAAATTCTACAGACTACAAATTTCCGCAAAAGCCTTCAAACTGCCAAAATCAAATACCACTCGACAGATGGCAGTTTACATTATATTGTATTCGTAAAGCAATTTGATCTTCGATGCATTTCATATAACTAATCCTATCAATACAAAAATTTCAAAAAAATTCCAATGAATTAGCCAGGTTTACATTCCCCTTCGAAAAATCCATTCAACACCAACTCGAAACAAATTCTCCTCAATTTTCCAATATTAAAATAAAACCAAATGCACTCAAATTCCTCAGCTCTGAGGATACATAGATATCCATCCAAATGGATGTCCATCACGTTACACCAAATGCACTCAAATTCTTCAGATCTGAAGTATTCATCTTAATATCCATTTTAGATATCCACTTGAATGGGTATCGTGACTGGTATGTCGACGATAACCAGTGTTAGGATATTATGACATCTCTGTCGAATCCCTAGGGATTCAGTCTAATTCCAATCGATTCCAGAATTCAGTACACTCACACTGACATCCACACCTATCGCAACACCCACATTGACACCCACACCCTGCAATTCCTGTACGGAATTCCCGAAACTAGGTCGAAAAGAAATTGAACGGAATTACACGGAATTCTTAGGAATTTCGTCTAATTCCCAGCGATTCCGTATTGACCTAATCCTGGAATTCCAAACTGGAATCGGATCATCACTACATGAATAAAAGAAGATAGAATAGTAATAAAAGTTGTAATTCCGGAATTTGACTGAATTTCGTGTAATTCCGGGAATCTGACAGCGTTCAAGTTTGATTTAGTTCCGGAATTGACGGAACTGGCTCCGATATGTTCAAAAATACTGAATAGGATGACTTCTCAGATATCCATATATGCCGTATTATTATCTTCGTGCAAAAATAAAACGAAAACAATGCCATGATAGTAACTCATCGTTCACTGATCGAGAATGAATGTGTCAGCAAAATAAAAGTCTACTATGATCATTGTGAATAGCTTAATTCATGCGTGTTGAAATGACCATAGCTATGTTTCTGTGGGAGGAAAAAAACTAATTCATCAATTTGTTTTCTGTAACTTTTCACTTATAGGTTGCATACCATTGAATCTATGGCATCATCTTCAGCAGGTGGGGTTTCGAAAGGACAAAGATTATCTGGCAAGCCTAATAATCGTTTTTCTTGTCAAAATATGGATATTGAATGGACTTTGACTGATTCAGATGGTATTAACTGTGTCGTCAGTCAACTTCTGTTTAATGCAGCCAGTTGGTCGGAAATGAATCAAAGTATTAGTAAATTACAGCGTGAGCTCAGTAATTACTCAAATATATCACCTGTGTATCCATTGCTTCAACAAGCTCTTCGAACAAAGGATGTTACGCCTCTCTTCCGCGCGTATACCATAGAATGTGACTTCTATAAAGTTCTCAACAAAAAACTAGCCGAACATGTCACTGCATCGAATATGGGTAATCCTATCAGCTCAATGTCTTTCCAATACAACTAATGATACGTCGAGTAATGATTGGCCCATGTATTTTGTTGGTCCGATATTCGATGATATATTTTCGAAAAAACTTCCAAGATATCAATTTCACGGTAAAACATATCGTGGTGCACGTATCAGTCAAAGTGAACTTGATACGTATGTTGCTGGAAGATTGATATTCAATAAAGGCTTTACGTCAACATCTAAACAGCTCGATGTTGCTAAGCGACTTATCTATCCACCCGCAAATCAAAAACCTGACAAGTAACTAGCGGCCATCTTTTCTTTTCATTTCAACCTTAAAGACTTTAATTTTACAATCGATTTGGAGGGCATTTCTGAGTTTCCCGACGAAGAAGAAGTTCTCGTCATGCCTGGAATCCCGTTTAGAATTACAAAAGTTCAACGAGGAAATCCAATTGAAATTGAAC